AACAAAACTTGTGTCACTTATGTGGCCATACATGCACAAAGCATATTTTCACTTAACAATAAAGAAACACCTTTACAGTACAACATTAGAGGTACAATTTTTTCGCAACATATTTCTACAAAGATGGATAGGTCATGATACAAACATTGAAACATGAAGAGGTGTCTATTATGCATATGTAACAGACATCCAACTATATTAAAAGTAAGTCTGAAACAACGTGTACTGGATATAAATATACAATGATGCCCTTAGTTCTTAGGGGATTAATTAGATTACAAAAATATTGTACCTGCATCTGGAAGAAATAAATACATATTTACTCACTTTTGACTAATTTGTATAAAACTTGCAGGCAATATTCATGAAGGCATCTAGTCGTTTCAGAGAGTGTGATACCTTTGAAAACAGATCCCCTTACGCACCCATGAAATACTGTAGGCCAGTATGGTTATTCTCCACTTAAGAAATCAGGTGACAGATGAATAACAAGAACTTGAAACTTCTTGCTAAGCGCGTACGTACGAGCACGCGCACACACAGAAACTCATTTAACATTATGTATATTTATATATATATATCTCACCATCTTGCATATATGTGGGGTAATTTGACTGGCCATATTTCACTTCTGCCATCTGTTCCTTTTCTATTTTCTGTGCCAAGAATTGTGCAAATAAAGTTCTGAAAAAAACACAAATTACTACATACAAGTGTGTTTAAAAAACTAATAATATTCCCAAAATTAAGAATGCTGCTCCATTAGCTTAGTGGACTGTTCATCAAAGTCACCACTAGCAATGTGCCATCATGGAAATGATTATATTTTTCACAAGTCCAAAGCCTTCTGAATACAATAAACATTGGAAAGGTTCAATGGTAATAGACACTGTGTATACTGAAAAAGCCATATCAATCCATTATCAGTAAATCCTAAGGTAATGTGTTTTTCATAACGTTGTTGACTGCACAGAAATGTTAAAAGAATGAAATTCAAATTGAAATTTTTCTTCCCTGATTCACACTCAAATAGGAAAGGCTGTAAATATATAATGACCCTCCACTAAAAAACATCTGCAAAGAAAAATTTACTATATTAAATTTGTTCAAGCAAACATGTGCAAAATAATGAATGTGAGCTTCAAATCTCACACAATAGAAAGACATAACTTATTGGACAAATAACTGTATAAAATTATCAGTACAGAGTTACCTAGAGAAGTTTAGAACTGTTTCATACACTATAAACTCTTCTTCATCAAGTTTTACAGTGATCTCATACACTTGCTTCTGTGGTAGGCAAGAAAGTATTCCTTTGCTCTGAAGTTGCTCTTTTGTTCTACGCAACATCAAAGAATTCATCACGGTATTTAATCGCTGCATTCCTCCAGCACTTTTGTTATCAACCCAGCGACGCCACACCTATAAAATTAAATCAGGAGCCGAGATATTGAAGTTTGACACCAAGATAATAAATTACTGGGCAAGAAAATTGTTAACTGCTATAAAAATGCAACATTTCTACTGATCAACAGTGTTAAACCATTTTAACCCTACAGTTATATAATATTTTCGAACACAGGTAGAACGTATGGCTAGAAATACAAGGCTCTGAAGACCACAGACATATTATAAATTATATAATATTTGTATTAGAAACAAGTATTGTATTTGTGGTATGACATGATCTACATCCTTGGCTTGGGCCTGTGAAGGATCTATAGAATGTAAATAAATTCTATTCTATTTTAAATTTTCACTGTGTACATAAAATATGTATTGCTTATAGTTTCTGCAATATTTACTCACAATTAAATCATCAAAGGGAGAACATCTCAGAAATTTCAGCAACGAATATAAATCCAACTCTTTATTGTGAATTGGAGTCCCAGTGAGAGCCCATCTGTATTTGGCTTTCAATGCACAGGCTGCAATGGACGTCTGGCTCTTATAGTTGCGAATTGTATGGGCTTCATCCAAGACAATTCTTTCCCATTTAACACCAAACAGAGTACCCTAAAAATAAAGAAAAACCTGAATCAAAAGGACATCAATTTGTACTGTCCTCACAGTTGAAACAATAAATATATTTAATGCCCTGTAAAATAAAGAAACATGAAACAAAAGTATGAACAAATATATCACTTTCAAGATTTCTGTCTTCTGGGTTGTTGCGCTGTGTAGTATGGTAAACGTTTGTTAACATCGACCAGACTACACAGCGCAAGAACCCAGAAAACAGAAATCTTCATACTCACCGCTGTGAAAACCTCAAATCTTACATATCACTTTCGATTAATATATAATCACTCCATAGAGAAATAAACTGCTGCATGCCATTTTATGGTAGAAGAAAACAAACTTCTTCTATCACCAGACTTGTATTTGAAGTATGAAAACCTACAAAACATGCAACTGATTAAGAGAAGCTTAGATTATTTTGTTTTTATTGTCAGGTTTACACAGTGAGAAGTGAGATGGTTTAGCAAACAATGAATAAAGTTAGAAGTGATCTAATTCAAGAACTTGTCATTAATAAACTTGGAGACAGAATAACTTTGATATGGTTAATGTTCACAACTGACCTCAGCTGGGACTCAGATCAAGTGATATTCTATACCAAATATATCATAACTATGCAATCTAAGGTTTGTTTAATAACCTTTCTCCATTTAATCATTCCTATTATAATGATAATTCACAATATAAAAAATATTGCTGTTATGAATGTTTAGCATAACCAACCACAATGCTTGATGCACTGAAATCTGTCTAGTATCAAAAGTAATTTTTATACATACAACAGATTTTCCAAATTACAAATTGGATAAAATTGTTGCAGTCTACACTGCATTTATTCATTACATGCATCTGACAATACAAATTAAGGCAAGTCAGGCCTGGTTCTTCTGAGTGTAGCACTATGTCAAAGTGGTAGTTTACCAACATTTCAAAGAAATTTGTTGCCTCCTTCTTCTGGGTTGAAGATGCTATGATCAAAATCTCCATAAGAAATATGAGACAAATGTGGTGAAAACAAGCATTTGATTGATTGATTGATTATGGTTATACCTGATCTGCTCTAAAGTCAGTTAGCATATTCCTGCATTGCCAATTTTATACTCTTTCAGATATAGTTGATAGGTGTGTTGGGATTTTTATTTAAATAAGAACATAATAATCTACCCCTTTTTACTTTACAATTACATTCTTTTAAGAAAGCAGTCAAAATATAATGTTCAGAATAAGAGGTAAACAAATTACCTGCTTTGAACTGTCCACAGCATTACCAGATCCCTTCTTGCTAGAAACAACTCCTCCTTCTGACCTGACTATACTGTATGTCGTTACTACCATATCATGTCTTGCCAGTCTTAAACAAACAAACAAAAAATAATATATATATAACAAACTATAATTATTATCTGCCACACAGCATCTGAGAGATGATGCAACCAGCTTTAAAAGGGTGATAGGTCAAATACAAGAGAAACATATACTACTAGAAATAAAAATTGCATAAATGATTTTCACCTAATCAATTCACAAATAAAAAGCATATTAATCTTGTCTACTGTTAATGAATATAACACAAATCTTTATTATTTATACAAATGACTTACAAAAATATTTATAAATAAATATTTTGAAATATCTACTTAATACAGAGAAGCATCATGATTTTTGGAATGGATTGTGCTCTTTTTCGTTGTCAAATGCTGCAGATGACTGCATATGCTAAAAAAATATCTCAAAGGCAGTGATTAAAGTGAGATTCTAGTTAGATCTTTCTGTCTGTTTTGTTTATTACTGTAAATTACATCTGGATAGGAAACTAATAATTTACAGTGAGCACGAATGTATAGCTGTCTCTCTTCATAGACAGGGATAGAGTTAAATGTTTACTCCATAACTCAAACAATGTGATAGAGAATAGTCAGGCTATAGCAGTGTCAAGTGGTATATATAAAGTGTCCATTTCTGCAGTATTAACATATACAAATGATCAAGAGTACTAAATTTATTAATAGTGCAGAACATATACCACTCATGACACATTACAATACTTTGATAACTGTTTATGACAAATCAATACGTGACAATTAATACTTTATAAAATATAAATTACGGTCAATTCTATATCCGAGTAAACTACGACAGTAACAGGCAGCAGATGTCCTTTCATTTCACAGTCACCCAATCAAATCTAATTTAAAAGTAGGTAATGAAGAACAGGTACAGATATTGAGGAACACTCACTGACGAGGTCTTGACTCTCGGGATGTACCATGGTAGATCTCTAAATCTATTACACCTCGTTTAACTCGTTTCTTTACTTCTCCTTCCCACTGGTTAAGAAGACTTGCCGGGCAAATAACCAATGTCCCTCCCTTTTCATCTATCAAGAAACAAGAGATATGTCAAATGTGCAATTTTTCTTCCTTTACACAAATAAATTATGTGATTCATCATATGAATTCATTAAACATTCCACGAATTTTACATTTTTTTTTATATCATGTCGTCAAATGTGAAATGTATCAAGATCTAATTATAAAAAATGTTGTAATTTTATGTATTCTTAAGTAATTTTAACAACATTTTAAGTTTGTGTACGGACGGTGAATAAATAATTATTATACTGAATTTTACATTATCTCATGAAAATGAAACCACTTTACATATAACAGATGTAAAATCATTACAAGAAGGAAAATAATGAGAGCTCATTTGCATATACATTCCAATAACATTAGTTATTTGGAAGGGACAGTGAAAACTTACACTTCCAATTCCTTAAACATGAGATTTCACCTTCTTCATCTTCTTCATCATCTGGATCTTTCTCAGCAATATCTTTATTTTCACTTTCTTCTCTTGTCTTTAGAACTAAAGAAATCATTGTAAGGGTTTTCCCCAATCCCATGTCATCAGCTGAAATAATTTTTGCACATAATAAAACAAACACAATGAAAAACTGTGTATTCAGAATTCACATGTGTATTGTATAAAACATTTAAAATGGAGAAAATATGGTTAAGTAATATTATGTGCAATAAGTATAAGATAAAATAGGACTAAAAAACTTGTCTGTTTTGTTTTTGTGCCAGACATACGGTTCATTTTTAGTGTGGATAAAGGAGAGGGGGTTGTATTTTGGTGTTCCCCAGTTTTCATGATCAATACTGCAACCATTAAAATTATAGTCAATGATACAAAAGAGTTTGTTATGGAATTAACAAGCAACTCTTTTCAATCCAATTGGAAGTGGTATTGAAGAATTTGCTTGTACTGTTTCCATAACATTTTCCAAAACAC